AAAAAATCATGAAAAATTCAATTACAAAGTTTCTTGACTTTGTAATTGAATTTTCCATTAAACCAAAGACACTGAAAGCTGAGTTTTTATTATTTGAGTCAACGCAAAAATGAACTAAAAACTTAGACTTGTTGTTTGATGCACTTAAAACTATAAACCTCTTTTTAAAATCCTATTTCTTAGGAAAAATTACGGTAAGTGAAATAAATATAATATATGAAAAGTATTTCTCGTTATTCAATTTTAATAAAGAAAAATTTGAAAAACCGGGTAAAACCAGTTTTTGGGGAATTCGGAATTCGAAAACCGGTTTTTCAAAAAGTCAGTTTTTGTCCTAACCCTACCAAATAGTGTTGCGAAGGTAAAATTTACCGGAAAATTTACCGGAAATTTTTGAAAATTTACCGCCTGGTAAATTTAAAAATTTTTTTTCACTTATTTTTTTTTATTTTTTTATTTTTTAATTGTTTAAAGGAAAATTTACCGTTCTCTAATTAAAGTTTACCGGTAAATTTACCGGTAAATTTTACCGGTAAATTTTGAATCAAATTTTACTGGAAAATTTACATCACTACTACCAAGTACTATCATAATTTAAATAGCATGACAACAGTTTATATATTATCTCATATAACCTATGGAATTAGCAGTAGATAAGCATAACATATTGAGGATGTAATAAATTTTTGTTGATCTTGTTTTGTTCTGACGTAATTAAAAAATATTGAATATTAAAAAATTATAAAGGGGATGGTAAATTTTTTCAACAATAAAACAATCAAAGAATATTAACTATGCAACCAAGAAATTAAAACAAATAACACCGTCGAACTTGTATAAATATCCTTAACCATAAAAGTTCGCGAAAAAATAAGTAGTCTACCCGTAAAAGAGATTACACCATCTTTGGAACCTGCTCATCTTACGCAACCTTCCCCTATCCTCGCAACAAGTTTAAAAAAAAACAAAAAAACAATGCTGCCAAATAAATAATTGCCAAAGAAATTTGATTTCAATTTTTTTTAGTTTATTTTACTTTAATGGGTAACTTCAGCTTTTTCTTTTAACCCAATAGTCGGGCCTTTATTTTTATTTAAAGTATTCTTGAATAAAACTATTATTGTTGGTAAGCCTTGCCTTTTTCGTTTAAAATTGTTGACATCCTACAAGCCTTTTTTAGCATATGGAGTTACATAGGCTTTTATTAGTTTTAGTTTTGAAAAACTCTGCACTTGCCACTGATATTGGTAAAGTCAAAAGAAAAGACTTTACAAAGAAGAATGCACGAAAGGTTTCACTGCTTAAATACTTATGACATCTATTGTTTATTTTAATCATGTAAATATAAAAAAAATCAAACTTTTTTTTCTTTGGTTAGTGGGGGTTTCTAATTTGGTGGGAACTTATATGTTATGGCGCACCTTGTCCAAGTTTAAATCCTGATCTTCTAAGCCTGATCTTCTGATTAAATGATAAGAGTACAACAAAGCGTGGTTATGTTAAAAAAGAAAAATATGTTAAAAAAGAAAAATAAACTCTGATTAATTGCTGACGTAAGCAGCCGTAACGTGGTCGTTAGAAATCTGGCTTAGAATCACATGGTCCATAACTCAAGAGGTTTGATTCCGAAAGGATGGGATGTCTTTAAGAACAATTACAAAAATCCGACGCAATATGTGAATTTATTCAGAAACGTGGTTTCCAAATGCCAAAAAGTCAAACCAGATAATACGAGATAAAAAAATAAGAGCTATGTGGTGAAATTTCTGTTTGGAAAAATTGTGGTGAAAAGTTCAGCATAACAGTTGATGAATGGACTGACATCTCCATTAAAGTATATAAATGTATATAAATTCTATTATATTGCTTGCTTGGTTATTTAATGATGTTCATTGTAAAAAAAAAAAAAAATCACATGTATTATAAATATTTTATTATATTTGTATTTGGTTTATATTTTGTTATATTTTGTCAACGACAAAAATGGGGCAAGATGATAAGACTATTGTCTTCTACTTGCTCCACTCATATATTTCACGGTAAAATGTTGTACAAATTTATATTAATAATGACGAATATATATAAACAATAAAAAAAAAGAAGTAACTCTTCACAATAAAGTTGCTTAAAAATTGGATCTTGTTATGATTGATTTCCTGTGATGCTTTCACAACTGAAGAATTAGTGAAAAAAAAATTGACAGAATTTGGGTTAGATTTTTTGTACATAATTGCGTCTACTCACGATGGTGCTGCAATAATGCAAAAATATGGACGATAATGCCTGTAGAGAGCCAACTGTACCACAATCGCGGTGTTTATGTGGTCATAATTGATATTTTCTACAAAAATTTACGTACTAGCGACAACCAAACATGTTCGAGTGATGAATCAAATGAAAAAGATGCCGATGAAAGTAATAATGCAAACAATTTCAAAGAACTTCTTTGTAATCTTACTTTGGAAGAAGATAAAAAAAAAATCAGATTCTAATTATAATGACAATGATTATCAGAGAGAGTGAATCGCAGCGACGTTTTTATATGATATCATTGAGAAAATTTGCTCACGGAAGCAGCAACAGAAGTACTGTTGACATCTTCTATCAGAACATTTCGAGATGACATCAAGTCTGTATTAAATAACTCGCGTAAACTGATTAAATTTTTTAAATTGTCAAGCGTTCGTAGCTCTATATTTCAAAAGCATGTTTTCAAACAAGAAAATAAAAAAACTGAAAAATTAAAATTCATTGGAAACTCTTTTGTTCCTATGATTGAAAGGTGAAACCATTTTGAAAATCATTCATGCATTCAAAAAGCAGTTTTGGACTTTGGAACAAATAGTTTTAATGAAGAAGTTGATTTTAAAGTTTTAGAAGATACTTTAAAAGTGTTCAAAAAGCAATACGATGAGCAACTCATCGTATTGCTTAAAAGTGAATACGATGAGCAACTCATCGTATTCACTTTTAAAAGTGTTTAAAAGTGATCAAAAAGCAATACGATGAGCAACTCTACACAAATTTAGTGTAACTAATGAGATATTTGCAAAACCCTAAATCAAATACCTCAAAAAATAATGATGACTTTAAATATTCATCAGCAATTATTTAGTATGCAAAAAATATAGCTGAACAAAATTTTACCAAAAGTATTGGATAGTGTGAATGTCGAATTATCGAAATAAAGAAGTTGCTGAAGAAACCAATAATAACCATAAGATACAATTACAACAATCTCTAACAAAGCTGGTTTCATTCCAATCCAAAAAGAGGGTTTAAGATGTTTGAAGCAAGTGGAGTTTGAACATTGAATTTATTTTGATACCGATGCTGAATTTTTATATATTAAATGGATTGATCTTTTTAAAATACTATTTTTGAAGCGTTAAATTATTGAGTTATTACTGTTTGATATAATATTTTTAATATTTAATTTTTGATATTAAAAAGTAAAATAAAATAAAATAGAAATAGAAAAATGTGATTTGGCTATATTTTTTTAATGCTTTTTATAGATATCGCGCAATACAGGTTTATACTGGTATTGAACTATTTTGAATACCGAAAATCCTATAATTTTCCGATATTTTATAAACTCTATATTAAAATATCTATATATCGGTCTTTTTAGCGTTTAAAAATTATGGTCGTGTCTGGATGTTAGCTACCTCAAAGACCAAAAAATGCTGGTCCGCCCCTGCCATATATAGATAAAACGTATAAACACCAACGTTATAACGTAATTTTTAATAATATTTTCGCATTTTTAAAAGCCTCGAACTATTATTTCATCATTTGTTGTTTTCCTTTTTATAACTTTATTTTATTAATTATATTTAATTATCGGTAATTTATATATAAATTTATTTTCTAGTATTTGAACATGTTAATATTAAGTATGTCAATCTAATAAAATGCTTTTTTGGTTTTGGTTTAGCATAGCCTTGGGCGAGGGCTGAATTTAATTTACATAATTAAGATTAAATTTTAGACTAAAATGTTTATATGCATATATTTATAAGCATATGCAATATGTTTATAAGCATATTGGAATTAGAATGGAAACGGCAAATGGCCGTAAAAATATATATTTTAAAAAATAATAAAAATAGTCACACAATTTTTATTGATTGATGGCGCGATATACAACTTTTTTGGTCAAAAAAATTGTATATCGCGTATTGTATATTTTTAAATAATTGTCTATTGTATAACTGTATATTGTATATTTGTATATTGTATATTTGTATAATTGTATAGCTGTATAGTTGTATAATTGTTGTATAATTGTATAATTATTGTATAATTGTATAAAAGTTGTATAATTGTATAATTGTATAATTGTATAGTTGTATAATTGTATAATTGTATATATTGTATAATTGTATAGTATAATTGTATATTGTATAATCTAGTCAAAAAAATTGTATATCACTAAAATTTAGTAAAAAAAATTGTATATCGCGCCATCTATCAATAAAAATGCTTATAAACATATTGGAATTCGTTATATATGTTTATATGTTTATAAGCATTATACTAATTATAATGCTGATAAACATATTGGAATTCGTTAAGGAAACAGCAAATGGCCTTGAAAAAATATATTTGTTAATTACCTATTTTATTAGGTAATTACCTATTTTAATAGTTAATTACCTATTTTATTAGGTAATTAACATTTGAGTGATTACTATTATATTTTATATACTTTTGTGGCTGTTGTGGAAACAATAAAAGATTTATTTTTAACTCTATTTAGGAGTAAATGATAAATAAATAATAAGAATAAAATAGGAAATATGAATAAATTATTAGGTGTGGTGATTTGTAATATAACGCATGTTTCAAAACGTTTGTAATGCAAGCAGCATTTTTATTTTACGCGCGAGAAACTTTCTTTAAATAAGCTTTCATATTGTTATCATTGACGATTTTTTTTAAAAGAAATTTTTTTGTGGCTGTTGTGGAAACATTTTTGTTTCTTTTTTTTTTAGTAATACAAAGCAACGTTTATGACATCGAGTGTGATCGAGACAATATGACGTCAAATAAGAAAGTTGAAAAAAATAGTTGAACGAGTTTTTTTTATGTAACTGTTTTTTGTTGTTAGAGAACTTATCAGGTAAGTAACTATAAATAGATAATAGTTAAATTAAGTTTTTTTATTTTTGCGTTTAATACTTTATTAACTTATTCGTGTCTTTTTGAATCAAGCTAAAACCATAAATTAGAATAACTTTATTTCTTCAAGGCAACACAAATCCATTGAATAGCAGAACGCAGACAAAAGTAAGCTAACTTTTCTTCAAAAATGTTTGAAGATTGCGTTTTTAAAATAGCTTTGCTGATGCCCCTTTCAAGTTTTATTTTTTAAAAATACCGTAGCAAAAATTCACCAATCCCACAATCCTAACAATCAAAGGAGAAGACTTCTATGATATAATAAAACACCTAATAAAAAAAATGATTCATAAAAAAATATCTTTTTAAGCAATGCCATTTTTCATATTTATACTAATTTTATTATATTTACTTTAACTTTTTTTTTAGTTTTTACGTGTCTTACAATCAGTTAATTAAATGGTATTAGCATAATTAAAAATAGAGAAATGTCCTTTCTTTTTAAAAATTTACATATTTTTTTTAATTAGAGGAAATGCGGGTTAAACTGATTTGTAACTAAAATGATGAACACTATTTTAAACTTCAATTAACTATTTTCAGTTCTTATTAGATTATTAAGGGAAAAATCTAAAAAGGTTCTATATAAAATTACTTTTTTTAGAAAAAAATCATTCATTTTTGTAAAACAAATGAATTAAAAAAAAAAAATTCTGTGTTTACCTTTAAAATATTATAGTTCGGTTTAAAGTGAAAATTATAATGATTGTAGTAATTGATTTTTATTCGTAACTCTTTATTAAATCTTTATTAAGAATTGTTTTTTTTTTATTAAATTTTTTCAAAACTTTTGTCTAAATGTGGGAAATTTTTTTTAAAAGTAAAATTCTGAAACAGTGCGTTATTGTTTTTAAAAACTGTGGTTTTTGTTTTTTTGATTTTGATATGATAGGTCAGAATTTAAGCCAAAATAAATTTGATATAAAAAATATTATATTAATTTTTATTATATTTTTTCTTAAATCATAAATTATTAAATGTAATAAATATTGTTCAAAAAAATAAGTATTATACTCTTTTCATGTATTTCCGATTTTACAGCTCTTATAGACTTCGAAAAATGTTGCTCAGACCTAACCATGTTTCCTTTAAGGCCATATTGCTCAGACATACCCCGTACTTGAGTTATTTTGACCTAAGGACTGGTTGGCAAATAACAATTTATCGTTAAACTTGATGTGGGAAACGTCAATTAAGAAAAACAATATTATTAAAAACAAAAACAAAATAAAATAGTAAAATCGTGTTTAATATCAATTATATTTTACAGATTATTCGCTGTTATCAACAAAAGGAAAATTCCTTTTGATTATAAAATCGTTACACTTATAAAACATTATTACACTTACTAAACATTATACAGTTATAAAACTAAACATTATAAATTACACTTATAATTACACTTATTATAAATTACATTTATTATAAATACACTTATAAAACTAAACATTATACACTTGTAAAACATTATTACACTTACTAAACATTATTAGTATAAAATCTTTCACTTCTTTTTTACAGAAGTTACATGAGCACATGCTAAATACTGCACCCACAAAGCACTTGGAAAAGCTGTTTGAAAAAGCCTTGAATCAGCTGAAAAACAAACACATCATCTTTATTTTCATCTCTTCTTTTTTTTTTCTTTTGTTTGTATTTTACAAGTTAACAGGTAAGAATTCTAGGCTTACTTTGATCAGCTTTTTTAATAGAAAAAGTTTTTTCTTTTTCAAACTCTTTTGTTTTTTGGCATCATTTTGCTATTTTTCTTATTTCTGTTACAACACTTTTTTAACTATATATTTTCAAGCTGTACTTATTAATATAGAAGAAATACGTTTCTTATTTTTAGGCTTACTGATAGTTTGTTTTTTAGGCTGAGATTTTTCGATAGGCCTGAGCTTTTTCAAAAGGACCTCTTCTTCAAAAAAGGGTAAAAGTAAAGGGTTAAGAATGGAACCTAGTTTACAGTCTAAATCTGGAAAATTTCTATCCTTAGATTTTGATATATTTTATTTCTATTCACAATACAGAAAACACCTTCTTGCAAGAACCTAGTATATCTAATGAAAAAATGACGAATAATTAATATCTGAAAAAATGAATAAATTTCCGGTACTTAGAAACCACTAACAATGTTTCTTGGAATTATTATCATTAGGAAGTGCTATTCTTACCATACAGATATATTGTAGCAGTGGCGGAACTTAATATTTTGGACCCTCCCCCCAACCTCCACAAAATATTTTTTAGGTCCTCCACCACAAAGAGGTGTTTTATTACATTTTTTTAATTACTGCTTTTGATCAGTTTGTTGTTGTTTTATATTTTATTTCTTTCAATTTTTGGTCAGACGTTACTTTAATACAGGATTGAAATTTTTAAAATTGATAATAATTTTTAAACACTACAGTTCCTTCAAAATATATGGGCTCTTACAGCTCTGCCCCCCCCCCCATCCCCACTGCATTGTAGGTAGTCATAGGTTGTAAATGCTGGAGAAATTAAAAATATTATTAATATCTTTACAAAGTTCTGCATTAAAATGAGAGCTGAATTTATCAATTAATACAAGGATACCTTGATAAATAACGTTTTTATTTTATTTTATTTATATATATATATATATATATATATATATATATATATATATATATATATATATATATATATATATATATATATATATATATATATATATATATACTGTTATAATCAGTCAGGGGCTCAAAGGTAAGGATGATGCGTTTATCATCACAACCTTTTTATAGAGCCTCTTTAGTCACTTATTAAAAAAAAAACACTTTACTTTTTAAAGTAAAATAAAAATTCAAATTCAATAAAACAAACTCATATATATATATATATATATATATATATATATATATATATATATATATATATATATATATATATATATATATATATATATATATATATATATATAAACTCATATACATATATATATATATATATATATATATATATATATATATATATATATATATATATATATATATATATATATATATATATATATATATATATATATATATATATATATATATATATATATATAAATATACTTTTATTTTGGAAATGATTCCATATTGATGGACCACGGTTTGTAATTAAAAAAATTGACTGCAGTGATTTAATTTTCGCTAGGTGATAGTTGTACCTGGTATATAACTATATGTATATACTTATATATGCGTGTGTGAATATGTATTAGTCATAGTATTTATTTAATCTTTAAATCATTCAGTGACAAAGTTCAATTTTCGGTAGTTTTTTTTTGTAAAACATCTTTAAAAACAATTTAATTCATTTATCTGTTTATATTTCGAAATTTTTTTTCGCAATTTGAGCCGAACATTTAAATATAAACGCATTTCACAAGCGCCCTAATGACTGACGACTTCAGTTTTATAAAAAATATCAGTTTAATAAAAGACAGTTTAATAAAGTTTAACTTACCGCGTTAAAAATCATCGAAATGCATATAAGTTAATAGTAATAAAAAAAACAACAGAAAATTATATGTATAATAAAGTTAGAAGTATTTCTAAACAGTATAACTGAAATATATAGTTTGTTTACATTTTTAAGTAAATTATTATCAGCAACAAATTAATAGAAAACATTAAGTTAAATAAAAATATTGATTTGTTTGCATGAAACTATTCTGTTGAAACTGAAATATTTATTTTTTTATATAGAATGACTTCCGTAGAAGACAGCAAATATGGCAAAGCTTTAGTCGCTACATCACACATAAAAGCCGGTGAAGAGATTTTAACATTGAATGGGGAAATAGTGACAGAGCCATCGGTATACTCGGTACAAATAAGCGAGAATGAGCACGTCAATACCGATGGAAACCTACGTTTTGCAAATCACAAATGCAGATCAGCAAATGCCGCCTTTGACTTTACTACTGTCCCTTGGGTATTAAAAGCTGTTCGAAACATTGAGCCTAATGAATTTATTTCTTTTGATTACAACACAACCGAATATAAAATATCAAGCACGTTTGATTGTATATGCGATAGCAATGAATGTCGTGGCAAAGCGTTAGGTTTTCATTATTTGAGTGATGATGAAAAGGCAGATATGGTTGCAAAAGGATTGTGTTCACCAGCCCTTCAGAAACTTTTTCTAAACGAAAAATAATGTGACAAATAGACAATTATGTTTGTTTGAATAAATATTATAGTAATCTCAACTCTTTTTGATTTTAAAAACGCTAATGAGTTTAATGTAATTTTGTGAGGTTTAGCTAAATGCTACTTTGGTACGTGCTTAGTGCTACTTTGATACTTCTATGAAAACATTTTTACTAGTTGTAAACATTGACCCAACACTAAATTTAAATTGGTTTTTTCTAATCGCAATAATATTTTAAAAATAAATGTATCATTTGAAAATTTTCGAACTTTTTTAAAGTTTAGTTTTAGCTTTTACTAAAATTTATTAATATGGCTTTAAAAAACACTACGCTAAAATGCACTACGCTAAGCTAAATTAAGCTAAACGTGACTACACTAAACCACACTATTCTAAGGTCGACAATACTAAACTACACTAAGCTAAAGTGCACTATGCTAAGCTACACTACGATAAGCTACACTGCGCCACGCTGCACTGCGCCAAGTTACACTACAACTTAACTAAAATACACTACGCTAATACACTAAACTAAATTAAATTACACCCAACTCCACACTACATAAAATTAAACTAAGATTATACTTTTTTTTTGTCAAGTTGTCAATTTATGTATATTTTAAACATGTTTAGATGCTAAACATGTTTTAAACACGTTTAGATGTTAAACATGTTTTAAGCACGTTCAGATGCTAAACATGTTTTAAACACGTTTAGATGTTAAACATGTTTTAAGCACGTTCAGATGTTAAACATGTTTTAAACGCGTTTAGATGTGCATGTTGAAATTTAACTTAATAAATTAAAGATTAACAACAGTATTAAAAGTATAATAATTTTTCAACAAAAAATAAAACTAAATTTAATTGAAATAAAACTTCAAAAAAAGAGAAATGTCTCACAAGTCAGTAACTAATTACTTAAGGAAATTTAAATTATTTGTGTATTTATGTAAAAGAGATATTTTAAATCAAAGTCTTTTTGTATAGAGAGAGTCTCCTAAACTGTTCCAAAGTGATTTTTTGAATTGTAATCTTTTTAGTGATAAAATTTTAAAAAATGCTCCCATAAAAACGGTCCACGATAATGGATTTGCAAAAAAGAAAAGCTTTAAATTAGAACTTGGAACAAAAAATTTAATAGAAACTAAGAATGGTATTATTTTTTACAATAACACACTCACTACAATGAATCCTAACTTTCTAAAACCATATAAATTCAAGTTCTGCTGCATGCTTAAGCAAAAATGCTTTTTTCGATGATCGAGGTACTCTGGCCGATAAGTACGCTAAATAAACGTACCCAAAGTTCCCAATTATTGTAATGTCATTTTATTATATATTTAGCTATTGAAAGAAGTTCCCAAATATTAATTTATCATTTTATAAAGTTTAGGGAAGACCTTTAGGACTCAATCAGAAAGACTATCTACGAACTTGAAATGGTTTAATTTTTAATAATAAAAGCTCTCAACGAGCTGATTTTTACTTGTTATGGGTATTCTTAGCCCGTCCGTTTTCGATCCGCATTCGAGTTAAAATCTCATTGGATTTGCAAATGGCGCATAATAAATCATATTGATTTATGAATGTAAAACGGATTAAACAAATATTAAACTATTTCGTAAAATGTTATTTTTATTTCAAGCAGTTTTTTGTTTATCCATGGAAGTACTGAAGTATCTTTAGTACATAGTTTATCAAATCTCGCATTCGATGTGAGGGTGAGTTGCAAGGGTGAGAGTGAGATGTTGATAAAAAATTCTTTGTTTATTAATAGATGCTATCAAAACAAAATACCAGTACTGTAAAAGATGTTCATACATTATTAAAGTTGTTTTGAGGCTTTTTTTAGAAGCTATAAATTTCCCGTTATAATGTCAATATCTAAAATATGCGACATTTGAACTTTGAACTGTACGTTACAAAAAAAAAAAAAAAAACAACAAAAAAACAATTGTCTGTCTTTTTCAAAACGCCTTAATATTCTTATTACGTATTTCGAGAAAATTGCAAATAAAATTTTTTTTTTAAGATAAACTCTTTGTAAAACGTTTTTAGAAATTAATGATTTTTTAAATTTTTTCGTAATTGTTCAAAAATATTTCTTCAATAACGTTTGTAGGCATCTAAATTAGCTTATTTTGTAAAAAATAGGCTAACTTGATTTTTTTTACCTCAAGACGTTTTGTAAAACGGCTGCAGATTTGTTGAGATTAAAAAATTAAAAAGATGATTTAAAAATTTATGATTTTTATTTATTTTGTTTTTCTTATTAGTAGCTGATATTTAATGCTGATAGAAAGTTTGATAGAAATAAATTACAATAAACTAAACTTATTTTTATTTTTATTGGAGTTATTAACTTATTTTTATTTTTATTGGAGTTTATCTTACTTCATGCAGAAATACTTCTGAATCCTTAGAAAAATATACGCCTCAACTTGATAAACTCCATCATTAACACATATGAAGATGAAGGAGAATGTATAATTGCAGGCGATTCTCAGTCATTTCCAGAAAATATATATGATACGAAAATCCGAAACAATAAAACATGAAACAACTTTTCTAAGTATTTATCCAATTTTCTTGAATTAAATGAGCTCTTTTTTTTGGACATAATTAATGGTACTGGTCCAACATATACCTATAAACATAAAACGCTGAATAATTCATCTTATATCAATCACATTGCAGTACTAAAAGAATCATCAATATGCTTTACTGGCTGCCATGTTATTCCTCCTTCACATCTAAACATGAGCGATCACTTACCCATCACTACAAATATTAATCTTCAAAATAAAAGTCTAACACCAGTTGTAAATAGTATTCTTAAAAAATATAATACAATCCCAAAGTATGCATGGAATGATAATAACTTTATTAAAATTTATAATCAGAATCTCTCCGATTTTTTCAAAGATTACACTTTTATTGGAGAAGAAATAGAGAAGCAATCTCAAACAACATTTGAAAAAATAAACAACGCTGCTATTTTAGCAATGAAAGACTGTTTTCCACAAAAAGAATCAGGAGCTTACTCTAAATCATGGTGGACACCAGAAATTAAATCGTGCAAAGATATTCTCTCTTTCCACTTTAAAGAATGGAAAAAAGATAACTTTAGTAGATCGCAGGAATGCAGTTCATTTAACAAGTACAAACTAGCTCGAAAAAATTTCCGCAAAATTGTAAAAGCGGCTCACAACTTAAAATCACCAAAAATATTGAATCTCTTCGAAAAAGTAATCGACAAAAGTTTTGGAACAATATCCGAAAATTTAAATCAAATCCTAACACTCGTATTTTTACTATTAATAAAAAACAAGATAAAAAAGAAATTGTAGAAGAATTTAGACAAAACTTTAGTACCATTCTCAACACTCCCACAATTACCAACAACAACAACAAACACCGTCGTATTCCACAACTCATTGATGAGCCTAATAAAATTTTTGTATCAACTTCCGACATCGAAACTTGTATTCTTAAGCTTAGATCTAATAAATCACGTGATTCCTGCGGAATTACTGCAGAACATCTTAAATACTCCTATAACAACAATCTACTTACATGGCTTTCAAAGTTTTATAACAATATCTTCAATAAGGGGGGTGGGTGGGTGCCGGAGTACCTATCAACATGTTTTATAACTTTATTAAAGATCTTCAAATTAATTATTGGTATTTTAAATGAGTTCTGTAAATCTATTTGTTTATCAGGCATCATTTTGGTGTATGACACGTACAAAAAATTATGATCTTAATTACGCTTTAAAGAGCAATTATGTAAATAACTTTCCGCAGTCAGTATAAATCTTTGAGGGGTTAATAACATAGACATGGTTGATCAACTTCAATGCGGTAGTAATGTATACACAGAAGTTAAACAGTCATATACCAAAACAAAGATAATTTCTAGGAAAATATGAACTAGAAGCCGTAAAAATACTATAATTAAAGGCCGATCAAAAGCTAATAAAGTAGAAACTTTTGCAACAGACTGGTATAGTGGTATAATGGTCCTTTTCAAAGGTCTTTCTAATATTCAGATTAGATTAAAGAATGGAAAGACAAGAAATTACCTTGATAAGTTTGTTAAAGATCTCTGAAAAAGAAATGATTTGTTTGAAAAATATTTCATTTTCATCAATTTATTATTATTTAAATTTACATTTATGGTTCTTTGTGTTGTTTGATCATTTATATTTATGGTTTTTTGTGGTGTTTAATCATTTTAGTATATGAAGAGCAATTACAAGAGCAATGGCTGATACTTTTACAAACAATGAAAAGGTGTTCAAAGGGTTATTCTTATAAGACCAATTAATGTTCAATGTCTACAAAGCTTACCTTAAGATCGTATTTGCTAATGCAACATACAAGCTTTGAAGTTAATGACGCCATATAGCATCACTTGAAAATAATGGGTTAAAAATGGCAAGCTTTTTTCAATTAGTTCAAACATGTTATCCATTATTTTTTGTTTTACTTCTATAAGAAATTAGTAATAATTGTATTATCATTTTTTATTTTCAAAAACGAGTGACCAACTAAAGAAAGTTGTATATAATAATACTTCTTTGTGATCTTTTTCTTGTATATAAGCTTTTGCTTTTATATAAAGTTCTTTTGTATTATTGATATAAGCAGTTGTAATTAAAAGAGATAAAATGGTTTAAGAATATATTGGTTTTACTTGGCACCTAAACCAAAAATTAAAAAAAAAAGAAAATATATTTTAAAAAATTACGATGATTGGAGCCTGGTAACAAAAAACCCTAAACCCTGAAACTCCTATCAATTTATTAGCACGTCTTTTTAATTTAAAAGATTGTTTTACCCATGCTAATTGTATTTAGCATGAACATTCCTTATATTTACGAAGTTAATTTTTTCAACGTAATTTTTCTTATGTTTAATTGTAAAATTAACTTATGTTCAGTTTCTTTTGGTACCAAAACTTGCACAACACAACCTCTAAATTTCTAAATTTTCAGATAATATGTATAATACCTAAAGGTTGCTGCCACAATGCTCAATACCTGGCGCCG